GGAGTTGAAATTTTATTACCTATCTTTTATTGCCTTGTATCTCTGATCCTCACGAAGCCAAGGAGAAGTGGCCTCTGCTTGCACTGAAATCCCTCAGTATCATCTTGACAGCAGAGTATCATCTGAGGCAGAATATATGCCCAAAACTATAACATCTTCACCTTTTTACTCCTGTATGATTTTTAACATATTTGTTTGATGAAGAAGCCAGTGAAGCTTTGAAAGCTTGTATTTGTTGCATTTTGATTGTCCAATAAAATTATAGCTGTGAAGTCGTAGGCTTTCATGGCCGGCATCCATAGTTTTTTTGTGGGTTTTTTTCGGGCTGTGTGGCCATGTTCTGAAACTCTTTCAGAACATGGCCACACAGCCCGAAAAAACCCACAAAAAAATTATAGCTCTTTTGTGGATTGTGGCTTCTGTTGTATTTTGAACAAACCTAGTATCTTTTCCCTTTGTGAATGAAAGCACAGAGAGAGCAAACTCAAAAATACAGGATTATTCATCAGAAAACGATAAACAACCAATCTACTATTGTAGTTTACCAACATTGTTTGCTCAACATATTCTGTTTGGACAAAACTTGTTCTTGCAAACATGAAAACTGTGAAAAAATGTGAAAACCAAGTTATTTCTGATGTTTTATTTTAAGTTGTTTTAATGGATATCTGGTTTAATACTTTTTTAAGGGGTAGGTGGGTTCTAGGATTTTAGAGTGTATCTTGAGACAGGTGATATTGTATAGAATTTTAATTGTTGTAAGCTGCCCCAATTGTTTGGCATTTATTATTATTATTATTATTATTATTATTATTATTATTATTACAAGACAAGTGTGGATTTGCAGCCCTGATTCTGGTACATCTTTTATAAAGATTCAGAAAGTAACTATTTCTGCTACAGTTCCCAGAATCCCCTAACCATCTTGAACTATAATACACTTGTTCCTCAGATTCTACTCTTCTTTCATTTTTTGTAATGGAATTCTCAAAATCTACATAGAAAAAATGTTTAAACTAGAAAAGGTGTGTACACTAATTTGTATAATAAGGAAAGTTATATGCAAAAACTCACTATGAAAGATGCTGATGCTCAGCAAAATGGAAAGCTGTAGGAAAAGAGGGAGATAGTGCAACAGGAGGATTTGAGTCAATGAAGGAACCCATGACTGAGTTTGCAAGACCTGAGCAATGCTGATGATGAGTGAGGCTCTTAGAAGTATGTCATTCATAGCAAGACCATAAGTCAAAGCTGACTTGATGGCTAATAACAATATACAAAAATGTATATGTTTGGGAAAGACAAATAATATGTGTATATGTTAAAGAAAGCTGAGTGTGAAGAGGAAAGGAAATATTATGCACTTTTAAAAATGTCAGACTTATATGGAAATTGGGCAGAACAAACTTACAATTGAATGAATTGATGAAAACCTAGTACAGTCTATATAGACTGATTTACACACTGCAGTCACTGCCACACACATTCTGTCTCTGGATTTGTTAAACAGGTTGCTTGGCTTTTCACATGATGTTGAACCAATGTTTGGATTTCAAAGCACTTCACCAGTATTTGGGGTTTTACAGTCCAGATACCCTAGGCAACAAGTAACTATCAGGTGGTGGTGGTGGTGCCTATTGTCCTATTTCAATGATTGGAGCACAAATTATTTAAGGCAACTCATCCCTTCTCTGGTGTAACCATATCCTTTATTCCAAATAGGTATCTTGACCCACCAGCAGCAGTCATTGGTGGGTTACAGCTTAAGGATAAAATGGACTAGGCTCACTCTGCATCTTACTTCGATGTGTTTCTCTTGAATCTAAGCCAATAGGCAGGGAAAATGTCATAATTTTTGTTTTAAGGTTGATACATGCATTTTTAACAGCAGGTCAGTGGTACAGCTACGTCATGGAGGAGGAACCTTATTTGGGTGGAGGACCAGATTTCCCCAACCACCACCAATCTCTCCAATGGGCTGAAGACTTTTCCTCCAGCTAGGCTATCTAGGTGGGATTTAGAGGAAAAGACTCTACAGAAAGATTCTATGAGCCAGATAGGGGACCTCTGAAGGTTAGTTTAGCCCATGAGCCATAAATTCCCCATCCCTAAGCCAGGTTTAGTGATCATTAGGACATCAGGACTTCATGATATTATGAGGTAAGAACTTCATTAAGCAAGTTATTGACAAGATCCTACATCTCACTTGTGTAGTGTAAATCTGCGCTAATTTAGTTACATCGTGGTTACACTACATCAACCTTTTGCTGAATGCTAACACTGTACAACAGATTGTATAGCTGTCAAATGTGCCTGTCTATTGCCTCATCGTTCAATGAGCAATGCACGGTGGCTATTTTTGAAATTCCAGTAAATCAGGCTGTGCACTTAAAGCACTGAACATTAGTCACACACTATCCAAGAACATAGAACTGCATAGCTGGAATTATCTTGGTTAGTCCTTACTAGAGTAGATCCATTCAATCAATTGCTGAATGATGAGTCAAACTGTAGAGATGTACTCCTTTGTTCATTTCATTCATGAAAGCATCAACAAGCAATTTTTGGCAATTTTCCTTCTGGTTCAAGAAAGCCATTGACTTATTCTGCACAAAAGTCACATGCAGGCTTCCAGGGGAAGGGTTGCAGAGAAAACAATGGCAAGGAAACAGCCTGTTCTCTGCAGGAAACAGCATTACATACAAAAAAAATGCTACTTTCTATGTGTAAAAAGTGCAAATTTTGCATAGAATATGTCCCAAACTGTGAAGATTATAATCAGTCCAAGATTTTCCTTGTTAGGATTTCCTTGTTAGTGACACCTTTACCTTCTGATGCAA